CAGATAACACAGGGCGTTTCAGATCTCCACTAAAGCTGCTCTAGAGGCTATGGGGTCTCCTAGGGCACACAGAGAAGCACATTTCTTGTCGATGCTGCTGCGGCCTAATTCACTATTCCTAGCTCAAGCGAAGGACAACAACGCCGTGCTCTTAACCCTTGTGTGGGTTTTGCTGATGGCAGGGTGCTGAAGGGCTGTGTGTGGCCTGCTGATGGAGAGTATAAGGAATGCTGGAAGCTTCTGTCGGGAGTTTATCATATAGTTCTCTCCCTTAGCCATGAGTCCATCAACAATATAAGCTCAATAAGGTGTCTTTAAAGAGAAACACAACAAAAACAAAGTTATACTTTGGAACCCTAAACTTCAAGGCACTGGTTCAACACCACGTTTGCTAACTCAGCTCTTGTCACGGCTTTAGGATGCAACTACCAGAACTAACAGGAAATGGGGGGGGGGGGAGACCACACTTCACTGCTGGTAATTTCCTTAATATATTTTATTGTTTGTCTTCTTTTAAGGATATAAAAAGAAACTAATATTAATCTCCAACATAAGACATACGTCTTTCTTGTTTCTTCAGTATTGGTGACATCAACTTTTCTAAGTCTCTGGAAATTTACCTGGATGACAACAAAATGAGACGCCATGGCCCATGGATCTTCTAGAGTCTCCAAGTGTCGTGGTTTGGTGTAGAGTTTAGAAGGCATTGTGGTGATACATGCTGGCTAAGGAAAATCTCGAGGTCCTGTGGAGTATTCCAGTTTTGTTAACATCTAACCTGAGATTCAGGTTATATGAATGTGTGTGTAGGCTATTCAATAGTAGGCTATTCAATAGTAGGCTATTGAATGGCAAATCTTTGGCTGTTTCTAGCCTATACTTTTTGTTGTTGTTGTTCAGAAACCTGAAAATGCTTTGTTTGATGACTGCTTATGCTGACACTCATGTGGGGTAAGGGGAGCACTCAGGGGAGCACTCCTCCACTGCTGACAGCCTATGCTGGCACTCATGTGGGGTAAGGGGAGCACTCAGGGGAGCACTCCTCCGCTGCTGACAGCCTATGCTGGCACTCATGTGGGATAGAGGGAGCACTCAGGGGAGCACTCATCCGCTGCTGACAGCCTATGCTGGCGATCATGTGAAATAGAGGGAGCACTCAGGGGAGCACTCCGCCGCTGCTGACAGCCTATGCTGGCACTCATGTGGGGTAAGGGGAGCACTCAGGGGAGCACTCCTCCGCTGCTGACAACCTATGCTGGCGATCATGTGGGGTAAGGGGAGCACTCAGGGGAGCACTCCTCCGCTGCTGACAGCCTATGCTGGCACTCATGTGGGATAGAGGGAGCACTCAGGGGAGCACTCATCCGCTGCTGACAGCCTATGCTGGCGATCATGTGAGATAGAGGGAGCACTCAGGGGAGCACTCCTCCGCTGCTGACAGCCTATGCTGACACTCATGTGGGATAGAGGGAGCACTCAGGGGAGCACTCCTCCGCTGCTGACAGCCTATGCTGGCGATCATGTGAGATAGAGGGAGCACTCAGGGGAGCACTCCTCCGCTGCTGACAGCCTATGCTGGCACTCATGTGGGGTAAGGGGAGCACTCAGGGGAGCACTCCTCCGCTGCTGACAACCTATGCTGGCGATCATGTGGGGTAAGGGGAGCACTCAGGGAAGCACTCCTCCGCTGCTGACAGCCTATGCTGGCACTCATGTGGGATAGAGGGAGCACTCAGGGGAGCACTCCTCCGCTGCTGACAACCTATGCTGGCGATCATATGGGGTAAGGGGAGCACTCAGGGGAGCACTCCTCCGCTGCTGACAGCCTATGCTGGCACTCATGTGGGGTAAGGGGAGCACTCAGGGGAGCACTCCTCCACTGCTGACAGCCTGTGCTGGCGATCATGTGGGGCAAGGGGAGCACTCCTCCACTGCTGGTGGGAGCACAAACTTGTACAGCAGCTTTGGAAATCAGTGTGGCGGTTTCTCAGAACAAAAACATGCTAACTTTACACCTTTGACTTTCAAAACTGAGAGAAAACTCATGTTGCCACAAGCTGTTAAATTTGTGGAAAATTTTCTTTACAGCAATCAAGGAGGCTAGTTGTTGTTCCTTTTGGAGACTACAGCTCCCAGCATTCCCCTGGACTACAGATACATTTCTCCCAGCTGTCCTTGCATTCCCCGTTAAAAGCGAGGGTCGCCTCAAGCGGCTCTCTCTCCCCTTCTGTACATCCCCTCTGTACATCCGTCCCTCACCTGTTGTTACCCCCCACCCCCATTAAAGTGCACCCGCGTGGGACCGCCGTGTGTCTGTGTCTCCTTCCTAACCCTGCACCGCCGTGTGTCTCACAACATCTCCACTCTCTAACCCCGCAGACAAGAAAGAATAACACTAGTACATTAGCATTTGAGGTTGTCAATAAATAACAGTTCCCCTCCTCTCAAAAGAGAGGGAGGGAGGGAAGAAGGGAAGAAGGAAGGAAGGAAGGAAGGAAGGAAGGACAAAGAAACCTTAAAATGATCCCAGAAGAGGAGGAATCTATTTCTTTGCTCAGAAACCTCGCCTGGCTCCCAGCTGATCCCAGCTGCAGGCTGTTCTCATTAGGGTTCCCTTCTTCTCTCTGTGCCGCACAGGAGAAAGGACACAGACTTTGGGTCAGACCCGCTTGAGTCCTCTCTGTGCTTAGCTTCGTGGGCAGGTGGTCACAGGGAGACGGTGTCTGTGAGAGAGTCTGGCACAGCTGGGGCACAGCCTCTGCCCCAGCACAGCCACAGACTCCAGGGGGGACTGAGCCTCACTCTTGGGATAGTTACTTCGTGTCTGCCTTGTCATCAGGGACTGGTAATTTGCTCCGTTTTGAGACAGAGTCTTGCTGTAGCTCAGACTCGCCTTGAATTCACGATCTTCCTGCCTCAGCCCCCTAAGTGTGGAGATTAGAGGGGAATGTCACCACATCCATTTGGGAACAATGATTTTTTTTTTTTAAGTCGAGAATCCTAAAAATCACACATCAGTGCCAAGAAAACTGACAAAGTGACTTCCTACTTTGACTTTGAGAATTTTAAGGGGCCTCTGGGGCCAAAGGCACACAAGCTTCTTAGGTAGAGATATGACATGAGGCCTTGGATGATGGTATGTTGAGAACCAGTCATCTGAAAAGCCCAGAGAGGAATTCCTCATCCGAACAGATGGACGATGAGCCATGCCAAGGGTCAGAAAGCTGTGCTTTCGTCACGTTTAGGAAGGGAAATGTTTAGGATGTCATTAGAAAGTCTAAGTGCACGCTGGGAGAAGACAGGAAGAAAACAGGAGGCTTCAGGATCTTTGAAAAGGGGAAGGTGATTTTGGTTTTTTTTTGTTGTTGTTGTTTTGATTTATTAGTGTAGCCCAAGTACTCAGAAGGGTGCTGTGTATTTGGAGAGTATCATGAGAATACTCATGATGAACAAATGGATAGCTGAACGAGGTGTTGGCACGCATTTTGTGGCATGGTGTTGACTACACAATGGTTAGAATAAGTTCTTGGCTGGTAGACACAGATTCGTGTTCTAGCTTATTAATAAGTCAGAATCTCATCCTATATAGGCCCGCTTTACAAAGTAATCTTTAATACATTTTTCTTCCTCTTTAAAATCACCCATTTATTTGTTTCTCCCTTGCGATAAGGGAGTGTCATAACTTGAGGGGATGAGGAGGGTGAAATGACATGAGCTATTTTTTAGGGGGAGTTAAACTTTGTTGAAAATTGGCTTGAACATATCAAATAGAATGAAAAGGAAAGAAACTGAACACATAAATTCCTCTCGCTCTGTAACAGGAACGGGGGCTCAGCAAAGCTCATGGTCATATGTCCAGCTGGGGGTAGTGCCGGGCCTGGTGCCCAGGACCTCTGAATATCCAGAAGTAAACACAGTCTCAGACACAGAGTGTGAGGCTGCCGTGTCCTGAGAAGTGGAACAGGGTAGTGTAGCTAGAATTAAGAGTAAAGAAAAGTCTTAGGAAATCTGGCTAGAGGAATAAATGAGAGCTGGACGAGGTGGTGCACACCCGTGACTCCAGCATTTAGCAGGAAGAGGCCGGAAGATCAAGGAGTTTATGGCCACCCAGCTCCGTGCGCCTGGTCTAAACAAAAAGAGATCGATTACAGGGTACCATAACTAGTAGAGATAAAGAATTTGGGCTCATCTGTGTCAGTGATGTTGAAATAATTTTTAAGCAATAAAATTCTTTTTAGGAAGAAATCTTTTGAGAGGCCAATATGCACAGTTAACTTAAAGGAAGCGGGCTGTCTTCTGCCCCAGCTCTTGGGCAGAACGAGGAAGAAGACAGCAGCCGGCTGTGGTGAATTTTCGTCTGTTTTAAGCACTGACAAGTTTATGTCCTGTGCTGTCAGAGAAAAAAAAAAAAAAACACACAGCCTCATTTTCCTCTTACAGTCTTCTTTCCTTTCACAAACAGATGAAAAAGGGAAAGGAAAAAAGTTTGCATAAGAGATGTTCTTTGTTCTGATTAAAAACCAGAAATTTAACGGAAAGTCTAGGCTTCAAGGATAGGAGGTTTTTGATGCCTCAAACTGCCGAGGAAAGAGAATTTTCTCCATTTTAGACCATTCAGTGGGAAGACACTCACGGACTAAATTTAGACTTTTAAACTCTTTTCCCGCTAGTGCTGGTGGAGGTGAGTATAATTGAGTACTATACTTGGAGCATTAGTATCACAATTGCTTTTTAAACAAAAGTCTTTCCTTGTGCTTTATTAAAAACCAAGCTAGTGCATCTTGAATAGCATGCGAGCCACCCACGGCAGGCATGCATTCTATTGTGTGTGGTTTGGACTGCGTTTGGCCAGCAGCACTTGCCGAGGACCCTTTACTCCGGTGAGGCGGCTGTGAGTGGTGATGCAAACGTGCCCGCCCTTTTCTGGGAAGACAGAAAGCCTGAGTCAGGCGGCAGCGGCTATTAAAGCGCTGGGTAGGGCAGCTGCAGGCACTTCGAGGATGAGGCTTCCCTGCTGGTTCTGGCTGAGCTCTGCTGTCCTCGCTGCCTGCAGAGCAGCGGGGCAGGCGCACAACCTGACCGAGGGGCTGGGGGATGCAAGCGCCCAGGCCGCCTGCCCTGCCAGGCTGGAGGGCAGCGGGAAGTGCGAGGGGAGCCAGTGCCCCTTCCAGCTAACCCTGCCCACGCTGACCCTCCAGCTTCCGTGGCAGCTTGGTAGCATGGAGGAGGTGCTCAAAGAAGTGCGGACCCTCAAGGAAGCTGTCAACAACCTCAAGAAATCCTGCCAGGACTGCAAGCTGCAGGCTGACGACCACGGGGCCCCGGGCGGGATGGGAGCAGGGACGGCCCCGGACAACCGAGTCCAGGAACTGGAGAGTCAGGTGAACAAACTGACTTCAGAGCTGAAGAATGCCAAGGACGAGATCCAGGGGCTGCAAGGGCGCCTGGAGACGCTCCATCTTGTAAATATGAACAACATCGAAACCTACGTGGACGACAAAGTGGCCAATCTAACGTTTGTGGTCAACAGTTTGGACGGCAAATGCTCCAAGTGTCCCAGCCAAGAATACACCCAGTCACAGCCGGGTAGGTGTAACGAGGTTCTTAACATTTGTTCGTGAAAGCTGTGTAGCGAGATAGTGGCCATAAACATTAACCCGAGAGAGTAAGTTAATAAGCCTTTCAGCTGTTCCTTACGGCAGGAGAAACAAGTATTTGCTCAAACGAGACGCGGCGGTAAAGGATCTAATTACAAAAATCCTATTAGCCGTAATCGATTGAGACACTGCCACTGCCGTCAGTCTCTAGATCTATGCTAGCCGACCTACGGACCTACGGACAAGCAGAAGCAGGCTCCTCCCAGGCTGGTGCGTTTAGCCTGCTCAGTGTCTCGGGATAGAGTTCTTGGCTGTGCTTACTAAGGGCACCGAAATCAGGTCTGGGGTGGGCGGCCGCTTCTCAGCGCAGCAAGTGGTCTTTGAAATGCTTTTGCAAACAATCTGCTGTGCTTGATTCTCAACTATCTAGTGAGAACGGGGGATTTTATACATAGAACAAAAGCAGCTTCGTGTGGGTGCCAGACTTTTGGTTTAAGACTGAGTGGCATATCCATCCTCACCGTCCCAGTTCGTTAATGGTAATGCTGTTTATAAAGACCACAGACTAACTGCCTGCTGTGAGCATAGCACTGCTTCCTGCCGTTCCTGAGTTCCCAGGGCTGCTACTGATGGTGCTGCCATGCTCCAGAAGGCCACCTCTCCGTCAGGTGCCCATCCTGACTGTGAGGTTGGTGAGACAGTGGAGAGTCTCCTGGAGGTGATAGGTCATGGCGTCAAGGACCACTGTCACTAGTGACCCGTATCACCAGGTAGACACTGATGTTTTAGGTGACATCACAAGGTGTATATTAGATGTGGCACGGCATGGTAACTTGTAATGATACAAAAATATTCTATTATTTACCTTTCCTCCTAAAACTTTTAGGAAATGAAATATTATGAGTTCTACATAGACACAAATAGATTTTTGTGGCCCACAAGTACCTTATATTAAACTTACTTTACTTGACTCAGATCTTCATGAAAATTAACTGGGAACAAATAGTTGTTGTTTGTATCTGACCTAGACAAAACTCTGTTGACTGATTACACTGAACCTGATCACCCTGATGCTTTTCCTAGAGATCAAACTATAAAATGCTGGCTGACTATCCCATCCTGGGTAATAAATCCGGAGTAATATTGGTATATTATTGGGGAAGCCTTTACCTAACCTGAACCTCTCTACAGCTGTCGGGTAAAACATGAGTGAGTTATGGCGGTGGAGGTTGACGCTTTGCTCGGGACATAGCCTGTCAGCTTTGCTGATTGTGTCTAGGATGTGGTCCTAGGAGACTTGGGCGCATCTCGGCTCCAGGACAGAGGAAAGCATGGTTATGGGAACAAGCTCTCTGCCGGGGGATTTGACCCCATGTCCTAGCTCCTACCACTTGTTCCAAGAGGGAGAGATCATTGCTCTTCTTTGAGACTAAATGGCGATACAAGCAAGCTGGCAGTAACTCTGCCTCACCAGGATGAGGTGTGGATTCAACTTGGAAATGTTACAGAGCTTGGCTGAGTTTCTGGAGGGAGTTGGCCCTCCCTAAACCTTGCTTACACCTACTCTCGCTTTGCTTGCTGTTAGTGTTCTCACTACTGTTGCCAAGCAACGGCATTCACCGTAACCAGGTCCAGGTGAGTGTACCAGAGCCAGGTTCCATGATCACCAATAACTAACTTATCAAATTGGAGTCTAAGAATTCTTCAGATGCATAGCTGTAATTAACAAAATTCCATGTTTTTCTCTCTTCCTTCTTTCAGTTCAACATCTAATATACAAAGATTGTTCTGACTACTACGTGATAGGAAAAAGAAGCAGCGAGACCTACAGAGTTACACCGGATCCCAGTCACAGCAGCTTCGAGGTCTTCTGTGACATGGAGACCATGGGGGGAGGCTGGACGGTGCTACAGGCTCGCCTTGATGGAAGTACCAACTTCACCAGGGACTGGAAAGACTACAAAGCCGGCTTTGGAAACCTTGACCGAGAGTTTTGGCTGGGTAATGATAAGATTCATCTGCTGACCAAGAGTAAGGAAATGATTTTGAGAATAGACCTCGAAGACTTTAACGGTGTCACACTGTATGCCTTGTACGATCAGTTTTACGTGGCCAATGAGTTTCTGAAATACCGATTACACATTGGTAACTACAACGGCACAGCAGGAGACGCCTTACGTTTCAGTAAACATTACAACCACGACCTCAAGTTTTTCACCACCCCAGACAGAGACAATGACCGCTATCCCTCTGGGAACTGTGGGCTCTACTACAGCTCAGGCTGGTGGTTTGATGCCTGTCTCTCTGCCAACTTAAATGGCAAATATTATCACCAGAAATACAAGGGTGTCCGCAATGGGATTTTCTGGGGCACCTGGCCGGGGATAAGTCAGGCACAGCCTGGGGGCTACAAGTCTTCCTTTAAGCAGGTCAAGATGATGATGAGACCCAAGAATTTCAAACCGTAAATTGCTAGTGTTCATCTCTCCAGGCGCCTGTCTAAAGGCATTGAGTTCCTTCTGCCCTTTACCATAGGCCTGAGTTTATATTCCTTTGCTGTGGCTAACACATTTCCTTTTAAACTTCACAGCTTTTAAAACAAAGCTAGAAGTATCTAAGAAGACTACTTTGTTGCTGTTGTACATGAATGCTTGAAAGCCCTGGAGGTATTGACAATCATACATTATAGTTGCAAACCCTTGAATTTTTATTAGTTAAAAGTTCCCTACTAGATTTATTATTTTTTACAATTAAAAAAACTAAATTATTCAGCAAGCTAAATGTCTACATAAGCAACTTTCATTTTCACTAGGGCTAAACATGCACATTTGCAAATCCATCAGTCTTTTCGGGCCCAAGCTACTCATGTATTTGTAGCCAAGAACTGTAGTGCTTTCTTTGAGCCAAGAAGACCTTAAAGCATTTAGTTCTCAGAAACAAAGCAGGGTCATAATATTTGTAGCTAAATTTATTGATGTGATACTCATGAAATATATAACGTGGCAGCAAAATGCCTTAGAATGTGGTAGCATAGCGTATCCCTTCCCCATCCCCACTGGGAAACGACATCGCCCTGGAGACTTTGGTTTAGTGGTTCTTCATTCACTGTTTAGAGCCAGTTTGAACCTGATGCAAAAGCTACATTGTTGCTGACCCCTGCTTCATATGCACAATAGTTTTTAATGAAGGTGCTAGGCTACTGTAAGGCTTCCTTGGGGAAAGGCATGGTAGAGGGAAAAAAAAGTTTATCTAATACTTTGAAAGTCAATCCCATACCCAAAGCAATACTATTGTTGAGGGATCAACTTCCTAGGAAGCTGACTTTCTAGAATAAATTTATTTATTAAGATGAATTTTGAAATAGTTCAAATGTTATACATTTTACCCCTAAATAGTCAATTGCTTGTTTCATTCAATATATATATGTCAATCATAATTCCTGGAGCTTTTAGAATTCCTTAATTGTGGAATGCCGGGGATCACACCAAAAGGCTTTAGGAGCAGTTTCGTTTTATCATTGTGCAAAAGGACCTCTGCAGAGGGAGACAAGCGGCCGCACATGCACATTTGAAAGGTCCGAGTGAGCACTGTGTGTGTGTCAGGCATCTGAAGAAACCGCACAGTATGCAATGTGCAAGCGATGACTTTGGTCTTAACGTTTCAGTGTGGTTTTCAATATATTAACCAAGCTTTAAAACACATTCATAAAGATTCAGCGTCTTTGAATACAATTTTGGAGGACAGTTACTGACTTTACTACTTAAACTTTCAGATACGCAGCAGCCATTGTTGAAAAATAGTTAAGAGGTGTGAGATATTATTTTAAAAATATGAAACATGAAGCTTTCAGGTAAATACAATGAAAATTAATCTATTATTAATACAATTAAATTACCAGAGTAAGGTGAATACATGCTGAATTAAGTGACCAAAGTGTAAACTATGGATTCCAAAGGATGCTTACCTACTTTGTAGAATATTGGATGTAAATGACATAATTGATGAGGTGGTGCCTCACCCTTTAATCCCAGCACTGGGGAGGCAGAGGCAGGTGAATCTCTGTGAGTTCAATTCTAGCCTGGTCTACAATAGCTAGTTCTAGAACAGGCTTCAAAGCTATAGAAAAACCCTGTCTCAAAAAAATAGAACAAAAAAAAAGGCGAAGAAGATTTTGATATTATATAATATACATGTTTTATATCCTGTCTACCATATATAACTATATATAATATATAAGTCTAAAGAATTTCAGTCATAAAAAAAAGAATTTCAGTCATAAAAATGGGCTGATCATAGCAAAGCAAAGTATACACTTGTTTTTACTGTGTCTTTTTCAGGGAAGTTTGGTGAATAACAATGAACCCATGTAGATTATCTTTGCACAGTTGATGGATCAAAATGTTTTTTCTATTAAACTCTTATGACAGTTTTCTAATAAACTCTTTAACACAGACATTTATTTTTTAAATCGTTTTCTGTCAGTCATTTAAAAATATATTGTGGACTTTGATAATCTTTAACATGTTCATTGAAATAGTCCTTTGTCTTAACTATTTACTAATATATGCCAATGCTCATTTGCTAATATATATTTTTAGAGTCTTGGTTTCCTTTGGGTGACTAACATTGATTTTAATTATTACTTTATTACTGAACATTACTATCCTTTAAAATGCCGAGTGAAAGTAATTTCCTAGGAATCTGGCTGATTCTCCTGTCACTCAATGAGGAGGTCATTTTGCTGATGAGCAGTAACGCACCAAATATATTCCTGTATCTGATGAATAGGGCGTGCATATGAAAAACATAAACATTTGAACCCCAGGATGGGCTGGTCCTTGACTTTCAGTAGTTTCCTCAGACCCCTCAAAAAGTTTTGAAGATAAAATGGACGCATATAATTACAATAAACTCTTGTTTTGAAGTTCTTTTCATTGATGTATATTTAAGGTTATGTTTCATGTCTCTTTAAGGCCTGGTAAAATAAAATATTTAAACTTCACATCTATCCTTCAATGTGGAAACATTGTCTGTAAAATGACATTTATGTACCTATTATTATCTGAAAAGTTGAACCACATTTACATGATCTAGATAATATCCCTGAATCTTTAACAACACTGAGTATTATTTCTTTAAAAGGAAGCAGTAGGGATAGATAGAAGAACACCATTATCTATTTCCTTTCAGGATATGTGGACACACCCTTGGTATGGAATTTCCCGCTTTCCATTGTGGTGTTTAGCTCTCCCTCCCCTTTGTCATCATTAATGTTACAGGTGGGGTTAGCGCTCCTCTCCTGATGGGTGCAGACCCTTGCCAAGGTCTTCACTGCGGCTGTGAAGAGCCAGAAATGAGAGAAGAGGTACACTTGGAGAACCCAGACTACTCCACTCCCTCAATGTCTGTCAAGGCTCTGTGTGTCTGCCTGGGAGACACCATTGCTTTCTTTGCTGAAGGAATGGTTTGATTTCTCCAGGCTTCTCCATCCTGCTCATCAGAACCCACAAGGGCCTGCTCTGATTATGAAGCATAAAATCGCACAGCAGGGAAGTCTCTGCACATCCTTGCCAGTTTAGCAAGAGCGCCAAGGAAGACATATAGACAGATTTGGAGGCAGTGTGACAGAGAAGAGTAAATTTTAGAAGTGATGAGTTTGTTGGCATATGTACTTGCACCAAAACTTATCCACGAAGCGGTTTGCTCTAATAGTTCGCCTACCTAATTAACATACTGATATCAATAGCAGCTTATGTTAATGAAGCCGAGAAGCCAGAAATGTCTTCAAACTCAAAGGAGGTGAGAAGTCTGTGTGGAGTTTGCCTCAATTCATTTAACAGATACCTGCACGTGTCCCAGAAAGTCTCCTTGGAGGATAGAGATGTACCACTGGGCAACACAGGTAACCCTGCCTCCCAGTTTAAACCAGGAGAAATTTTCCTGACAACAAGCACCACATGTGTGAGGATTAGAGGAGGCAGTTCTAACCGAGCCCTGGGTATAGAGGGGAGACATCTCTGTGCTGACATTGTAGAGGCTGGATTATACAGGCCATATTCCTACACGGTATGGCAGTCAAAATGCTGAGCAACCTGGCAAGGCACAACCTGCCGCCATCCTAAGGATATGCTAATGTCGTTCTGCTCCCTCTATTGTAATTTAGGCGGTCGCCTGGGGAAGAGGTGCTTTTCAGTCTAAGTGACAGAGCAGGCATGGGTGTGGATGTGACCCAAGTCATTCTCTCTGCTACCTAGGAAACAGAATGCTCATGAACTTCCCCTTTGGTTTACGTTTTGACATAAAAGCTGTTTGGAGAATAAACTTGGATGATTTTCAGGATGTAAATTCAGGATTTCATAAAGGATCCCTAAAAACTCCCTCCCAATATAGTTATGAGAGTTGTGTTTTTTTTCTTTCTTTTTTCTTTTCTTTTCTTTTTTTCTTTTTCTTTTTTTTCTTTTTTCTTTTTCTTTCTTTTTTTTTTTTTGCTGAGTTCAGGACGTTTCATTTTGATTCCCACTTAATTCTAAGAAAACAACTTTCACTTTCTTATACTAGATCAGAAAATGGCCGTGTGTCTTTGTCTCTCATTGCCTGGGACCTTCAGGCAATGAAGTTATTTTTCTTTAAGAATTTTAAAGAACTACAGTCCTGAAAGTAAATCCCAGGATCCAAGGAAGGCTCCCCACATTACCCTCTGCAAATATGCTAAGATCTTCGTCATCCGTTGCTATATCTAGGTGAGTTGTATTTTCATTCCCACGCCTCCACTCTGGAGCTAAAAATAATTTAGGTCCTGGACCTGACAGACTCCATGTTAACAGAGATGTGAAGAAAGGAGTAAGAAAGAGGAGAAAGATCTGAGAAGAGCAAGTTCCAAGCCAAGGGAGCAAGAAGCATCCACGTTCAGAGTCTGGAGAGCAGCTGAGAGTCATCAGAGATATCAGTGATACTGACGTTCCTGGTGTATTTCTTAAAAAGTGACTGATTTTCTACAGAAAAGCTCACACGGTGACCCCCAGTCTCATTCTTCCTCTGAAATTTCCACAGTACATCTTGTTAGCGCCGAGATCATTTGTATCCAATCAAAACAATTATATAATATTTTTGGACAGGAGATAGTTTTAAATTAATGTATTTTCAAGGGTGTTAATGTCCCTACTTAACCTAGTGTTTAAAAACTGTCTTCCTGAAGCTAAGTCACGTTTATAATAGCGCTGACAGAAAGGGCAAACAAATCCCCATGCTGTCCAAACACCGCGTGCTCCATGGTTATGTGGCAGGATTCACTGGTAGAGGCATTCTGCTCAAACACAAAGCGCTTTGCAAGTTATCCGAAAGCTGGTGACTTCTCATGCAAATGCTAAAGTTCTTATTTTCATTTATTAAAGAAAACAATTTTATAAAGCGATTCACTTGAAAATCAATGGTATTAGTAAGGGTTATTTTATAAAAAAAATTCCCATTGGAGGAAATATTTAAAATTTTTTGAGATTTCAATTATTTATGTTTTGTGTGTAGGAGTGTTTGCCTGTGTGTGTGTGTGTGTGTGTGTGTGTATACACCACTTGCATGCAGTTCTCCAGACGGCCAGAAGAGTGCATTAGATCTCCTGGGACTGGAATTACAGAGGTTTGTGAGCCAATACATTGGAGCTAGGAACTGGACCAGGTCCTCTGGAGGAGCAGCCGTGTTCTTGGCTGCTGAGTCATTATTTCAGCCATTTGGACAAGTTTTAAAACCCAATTAAGTCGACTATTAGAAACTCCCCTCTCCCAGGGACCCAGACCGTGGGGAACTGTGGAAGTGGAACAGGACAGACACCTTCACTGTGAACACAGGGTTGGTGTTTAACATGCTGAACTGTGGGCAGAGATTCTCACCCTGCTGCACTGGCCACACACCCCTGCAGACATGTCAGCGCTGTCAAAGAAAGTTCCGACCATCTGTAGCCTGAAACATTGTCCCAACTGTAACAGCTCCGCTTTTCTAGATCTTGGGGTCTTTTATTTTACTGAAATAAAACATTCGATAATCACTCCCTCTCTGTCACATATTCCTGAGGGGTTCAGTTGTGAAATGAAATAGGATAATTGTATGGTGGTTCTAATACATACATATGGAATATGAAAATATGTAAATCACTGAGAACTCAGGTTGACTTTATATGAAAACTGCACTCAGAAAGGAAGATGCCTCCTTTGGACATTCGCTTTAGAAGTGGTGACTATGTGTATTCTCTCTCTCTCTCTCTCTCTCTCTCTCTCTCACCTAGGGCAGCTACACACAGAACAGTCTGCAAGGAGCTTCCTGCCCTCAGCACATCCTGAAGTCACTTCAGATTCGCTTTAAACAGGAAAGGAAAGAAGCAAGAGATCAGTACAGCAGCAGGGCGAGGTTATGGGAGGAGTGAGCAGCTCCGTGTGCAAGGGAGACACTTGGGGAAGAACTTGGGACCCCAGTTGGCCCAAAATGAGAGTGAGAAAGGCTTGAACTCTGAGCACGGCACACTTGCCCTCTGGGTACAGGGGCAGAGGCACCAGCAGACTGGAAAGGCCGGAGCTCTAGGAAGCAGGAACTAATTTGGTTGCAGCAGGCTGTGCTGGCAGGGAGTGGGAACAAAAGATGGTGGCTCAGACGGCTGCTGAGGGATTTGACTGCTGAAGACAAGGAAGCGGCAATGATAAGCAAGGAAAACTTCAAATATAACTATTTGTAATCTCCTCCTGCCTGGGCCTGGAGAGGACCATGGGATGTTGGGTGGGAAGGTTCTGGAAAGAAGATTGAACACTGCTTTGTAAAACAGCAACAGACAGCAAGGAGAAAGTGGGTGGAGCTACAAAGAAAAGCATAGCCCGAGGGTGAGACAGGAGCCTCTGGACCCCTTTAGGAATCTCCAGAGTTTTGCACTGGGTGAGCCATGGAACTCACGCTTCCTTTTCCTGAGCAGACACCTTAGCAGGGCCCTGTGGATTCTGCAAAGAATCTGCATGTCCTTCATTCTGTGCTGGGCGAGGGTCAAGGCCAGAAAGTTCTGTCCACGCGTGTGCAGCCGGTTCAAAGGCTCCCCCTATGGTCCCTCTGGAGCGAGAG